TTTTTGTTCAGGCATATTTTATAAGTGATCCTTTTTCCCGAACTTTCCACTCTAGCCCTTAGTATAATATAATTTTTAAGCTGTCAAAATGCAGCAACTTTTAAAACAGCCCATGTTTACTCAACAATTATAATACGTAGTACACAATTCGTTATAGTGTTGCAAAACGTTGCAAGCGTCTCGAAATGCGAAATGCAATTGAAAAACTTGTTGATCGGCAATTCAGATGCTGATTTTAATTTAAATAACAAAATTGTGAAATTGTGAGCTGCTTGTAATACGCATGCAACATTCAGCTAGTTAACTCTCTCTCTCTCTCTCTCACTCTATCTGTCTATCTCTCTATCTCTCCCTCCCGCTTTCTCTCTCTTTCTCTATCTCTCTCTCTCTCTCTCTAGCTCTACCTGAATTTAATATGTGTGTCAGACACACAGACACACACCATACACATGAATATTCTCTGTTTTGAGCACATTTTGTTCTTATTATTGAGACACTATGCAATGCAATATGATACTTCGAATTTTCTCTATTTTATTATAATTAATAAATTGAATATATTGAAAATTCATTTCTAATGCTTTTATTCATGTAAAATTACTAACAAATTTTAAAAAAATTTAAAGAAGTATGGTGGAAAAAATGTCTCAATCGACACGTCACCTTCGACCCTGATTAAAACTAAAAAATAAAAAAAACTACTCAATATTTTTGAATCAAATAAAAAACATTGTAAAGATGTGCCAATTTCTAATGATTTAAAATTATTCGTAATAAATTGTCACTTAAGGTTTCGCTAAAATCTCAGGTTGAACTGTTCAATGTTCTTTAGCCAATGCATATTTATTAAAATTGCCAATGTGAAAACAGTTACTTAATGAAGTCTTAGGCACTGCATGCTCTATGGCGTTTTCTATACAGGAATTATTTGCCAGGACGTCCAAAACCAGGGTCTACTAGACTAGGAGCCCAAACATTATATCCGTCATCCAAACCTACATGAGGCGCAGTTACATCTTCTGGGTCTTCAGTTGTCTCTTCGCCGAATTTTAGTTCATCCGTACCACTTTTGGGTGCATCGCCGGCAGAGCAGACAGCGTAAACTATTTCGAGCATTATAATTATTAAGTATATATASGACTATTATGACCAAATCACTTTCATGTACTTACAGAGGATTTGAAAGAGTAAGAACGTATATAGAAACATGGTTGCCATCGTTAGAGATTGGAGTCTGGTTATTCCTTCTGATCATCTGGTTTTGTAGCCTTCGCTAGATTAAAGCGTGTCCATTTATATTTGCTATGGAAGGTCGATTAAATGCTTAGATGATATTTGAGATGGACATTATTAAATTAGTAGTGCTATGCAAACCACATTCGTCATGTGGCCCCATATCTTATATAAGTTTTCGTATTTCCAAGTGTCCTTGAATGTCACGTTGAGTCTCAAATGCTTCATTCTTTTCTAATAACTAGAATCACATACTCATCTGTCGATTAAGAATTAAGAGGCAACAGTAGCTTATGTGCCTGTGGAAAGGGGCATCCCGAAAAACGCGGGATAGCCCAAGCCTTTAGCATCGTTATTAGTCGCTCAATATGTGTACTTAAACTAACCTAATAAGTAACGATTTTCAAGGTATTATAATTATTATAAGTATTATTATTTCAATGTAATATAATCTGCAATCGTAAAAGTATAATGTGACATTTTGAAAAGAGTTATATTTCAATAAACAATCGATTTGATTTCAAAGCAATTAAATATAGGTTGATTACGTCATGGATTTGATATGTAGCTGTCAAGCTTCTGCTCAAGATAATAATGAAAGTTGTCCAGTATAATACTGACACCCAATGTTTCCAAAGTCCAAGTCTCAATTGGGGAATTTTTCAATTTCGGGAGAATCCAATAACAGAAATATATACAATATGCGCATGGATCTGAGGTTCTATGCCCTGCATAGGTTATGTTTTGACAAACAAACTCTAAATATTGATATAAATATATTGTTGTTATTTAATCGATTGATTCGATCAGAAAAGAATGAAGCATTTGTGACTCAACGTGACATTCAAGGACACTTGGAAATTCGAATGCTTATATAAGATATCTAAACACATGACGAATGTGGTTGTCATATCAAATTTACTAATTTAATCATGTCCATCTCAAATATCATCTAAGCATTTAGTCCATCTTCCATAGCAAATACAAATGGACACGCTTTAATCCAGCGAAGGCTACAAAACCAAGAATATCAAATAAAATAACCAGAGTCCAATCCCAAAAGATGGCAACGATGTTTCTAAACACGTTCTTACTCTTCCATATCCTCTGTAAGTAATTCCAGCAAACTTCCAGCCCAATGCATACTTAATAATAATGGAAATAGTTTATGCTTTTTGTTCTGCCAATGACGCATCGAGTAATGTTGCAATAGAGAGGAATGATTCTGTGAAAGCGTCATCAAATGACTCGGCCTTAAGCAAGCCTTCCGTATTGGAATTGTTGACCGGTGAGAAGGTTGTAGGTAAGCAAATAATAGACTACAATGTGCATCCAATTCCATATCCATATCCCATAGATATAGAGCAACTATATAAGAAAAGAGATCGGCATAGCGATAATGACAATGAACTGTTAGAACTTCTACAGCAAGGAGATTGCGTAGAATTTTTAAGTGCAGTTTTTCCGAAAGGTACATCAGATCCAAATGATGTTTTGAATCAATTGAAAAGAGCAAAGCGACTAAAAGGGAGATTCTTGAAATCGCAGGAAAAACAAAGTGAAGCACAGTTGCTAAAGAAAAGCCTATCTGTACTATCTAAATATCTCAAGGCTCATTCACAACAGAGTCCACACTCTTTGAATAAGCAACAGGAAAATAATTTCAAAACTGTCCGAGATGGTATACATCAACTATATAATACCATCGAAGCTAGTTCTCAACAGAGTGAGCCAAATCCAAACGGGGAGCTTCAGGAAAATTTATTGACGTCCTTACAAGGACAATTAACACAAGATGCATTTAAAAACTTCACAGCTGAACCAAATTTAACATCAATTATAAAACAAAGTCTATCTCAACTATATGGATCAGGCGGAGCTAATTCTAGCAATGATTTGAGTCTCTGGAACATCGAGCAGAAACCGGACTTGAAAAGTGTCCTAGAATTGGTATCTAAATTATATGAAAATCACAAAGAGAATTCTAGACAGAACGATAGGCTGCCAGACCAAGAAAGACGTTTTCTAGCTCTAGCGCTAACTCGCTTAAAATTATATCTCAATTCGTATACTCGAAAGTATTATTATTTGTTGACCAGACGGGAGAGAGCCAACTTAAGCAAACTTCGAAAAGAAGTAGCTTCGGTAAATGTACGTTTCAAGCGACTACCTGAACATCCACACGAATTGAATGCAGCCCCGGTTATATTACCTTTTGCTATTGTAAGTCCCGTGTTATTACCCATATATTTGGGGCAACAAGTAACAGAAGAGCCGAAAGTTGTAACAACTGAAGCCGCATTAACAACAGAAACAACAGAGGAATTAACAACAGAGCCCTTTACAGTAATGCCAGAAACAACAGAGGAATCATTATCATTGCCAGAAGTGCCAGATTTCTCAACAGAAGCACCCAGCCTGCCAGAATCAACAACAGAAGATGCAGCACTGACAACGGTAACAAATTTATTCGATGTGCTAACTGAAGAACCACCAAAAGTTACTGAAACCCCAATAGAAATTATGGAAGTCTCAACTGAAAAACCAAAAGAAATGATTGAAGTCTTAACTGAAAAGCCAATAGAAATTATTGAAGTCACAACTGAAAAGCCAATAGAAATTATTGAAGTCTCAACTGAAAAACCACCAGAGCTTTTATTATTCCCAACGGAGGGAGCATCAGAACCAACAATTGTAATAGATGCAAATGGTAATAATCAGGCGACAGGAGGAGGAGGTGGAGGTGGAGGTGGAGGTCAATTTGGTGGTAACATTATCCAATCAGGTGGTTTCGAATTTCCAGTTTATCAGGAGCGTCCCTTACCATTGTCTGTTCTACAACAGTTAACATTATTGGGATATGGCCAACTATACGAAAAATATTTTTATACAAAGCCCCTCTTATTGAGTTCTTCCAGTCATCATTCAATCAGGTATCCTGCATTCCTTAATGAGGAGTGAGTCTTGAGAGTCTAAGCTCTATACGACTATCGACAATTACTAACATTGTTTCAATAAATCTGAATACAAAATAAAAAATTATATTAAATCCAATTAAAAAAAAAAAAAAGAAAAACAAAGACTTTTTTTATTTATTTATTTATTATTATTT